CTAATCATTAAACACTAAGTATTCAAACTAAGAATATAGTAGCAACAAATTTAAATTTGAAATTATAAAAATTATCACCGTGAGCTTAAAACCAATGTTGGGGGAAACAATGACGAACCCGATCAAGATCCCTTGGTTTCATCATCTCGGGTTGTTGAGGAACCTGATCTACATAGTCAGTGTAAATATTCAATCCAACCTAACAAAAGGATTATTGTGAGCAGTCATGGGCTGCTTTGTCCAAAGGAACCTTCTAGATCTGGGGTTCATGTTTATCCAAGGGGACTAATCTAAGTTAATCTTAGCTTACAGAGGGCTTTGTGCCTTACCAAATATACTATATGATTTAATACTCAAAAGGGCAAACTATCATTGGGGAATATATGGGCTACAACAGTAATATTTTGGTGTTATTTGATGGTAAACCATTTCGCTCAGAGGACTCGGGTAGTAACTACTTCTGTGGTGTTATTTGACAGTAAAACCACACATACAGAGGACTCAGACCACATCCTTACTGGCATGAGATTGTTTTTAAGTTTGAATTTAATAGTATACTTAACATAAGAAATATATGGGCTACAACAGTAATATTTTGGTGTTATTTGATGCTAAACCATCCAGTCAGAGGACTTTGGTAGTAACCCCTTCTGTGGAGTTATTTGACAGTAAAACCATACATACAGAGGACTCAGGCCACATTCTTACTGGCATGAGATTGTTTTTAAGTTTGAATTTAATAGTATACTTAACATGACATTTGACTTTTTGTGAGCTTGAGTCGGCATTAAATTTGTCCACCTCGACAAACGACTGCAGATGACTGATGAATTTTACTTTAAAGGTTAGATGACATAATTTTTCATTTGAATATCATTTTTTATGATTTAAAATCTCTTAATTTTATTAATAAACTTCTCCAGTTGAAATTCACTATTAACACGAGCATCATCGAGGAATTATTTATCTTTGGTCCCTGTCGACTGTCCCACTTACAGATGATCGGGTTCAGTAATTGAAATAATTGAATGCAAAATAGACTTTGAGACATAATTTTAAAGTATACCACACCTATTGAGATTCACTATATACACGACCATCATCAGAGAATTATTTATTTTTCCAAACCTTGTCAATTCTTTGTCGCTTACAGAGAATCAGATTCATAATATATTTTATTATCTTAGTTTTGAAAATGAACTTTGAGATTTGATTTTGAAAATGGACCCTTTTGGTTGAGATTCACCATCAACACGACCATCATCGAGGATTAATTGTAAGCACTAGTCCTATCAACTTCAGTCCTCGTAAGCAAGAGAATCAGACTTTCTCAGTGGAAGCTCAATTTTGTCGACTCTATTCCCTGTAGGGAGGATGATCGGATTGACCAAAATGGTGAGACCTCTGACCCTGCCCTTGAGGTAAGACGACCTGCTTAGAAGCATACATAATTACATAAATTTGAATTTGAAATTTGAAAACTAGATTTTTACAAAGCTTTGAATTATGTGCATGCTTTTCAAGACAATTTACTTTTAACTTAAACATGTGATTAACCCACAACATTTTCAGCCGCTTAAGTTTTAGTATTTAGGGACACGTCAGATCACATGCCAGTATTTTAACTTGTTGGTTTAAGTTGATTTAAAATAGCTTTGCACTTATTTTGGAGTAGATTTGATTGAGCTTAAGCATTTATTTAATTCGCACAACATTCTTGAACCTTGTGAACGAGCATTTAGCACATTGGTTACAGCACATTCGGGGATTTTAATTATTAGGTTTTAACCGACTTTTAGGAGTCTTTTATTGTTATTTACACTCATCTGTTATAATTGAGATGAATATAAATATTTTTATTCAAGTCCTTAATTTCGCTTCTGTCTGCTCATGTATTTAAAGTTGCGGATTCGGTTGCGATGTTTAGATTCATGTGAAGTTTTTATATTTAGTTGAGTGACAATTTTGGCTTGTGCATTTAATTTGGGGGGTAATATTCATTTTCATGCGACTTTTTTAATCAAATAGGGCTCACATGGATTCATTCTCCTTCTATAAATAGAAGCATATAACCTTATTCATTTCACGCTTTGAAGCTCATAGGGGTAGGAAGATTTCATTTGCTTTAGAAGTTTGAGTCTTTGAATCTTTCAAGTAAGTCTTTAAATTTTTTGCTTTCTTATATTTTCCTTTTTGGCCTTCCCTTTTGAGTGTTTATATTTATTTAAGTTTTAACCCAAGTTTCATTTAAATCACTATATGTCCATTTTATGCTTGACTTAGATTATTATATCAAGTCTTTTAAATTTTGTTCCGAAATTTGGTAAAATTTCGATAGCCTTCCGGCGTTGCCTCCCGTTGGGTTCAGGAGACTAAGCCTGCCCACCATGCCAAGAAAGACGTGTATGGTCGGTGTCGTGAGACACTGCGACCAATATATTTGAAACCCGCACGACAAGAAAGATGCGCATGGTACATGTAGGCATATTTCATATCACGAGTATTTTCCAATTGCATCGTGAGTGTCACATACGAGTTTTCCTTGCAAGAAAATGTGCACGAGTTCAGCTCTTCATGCCAGACACATCACAAAAAGGATTGTATCGCGAACATTGCATTTGAGTTTCCCTCATCACGCTAAGAATAACATGCACGAGTTATATTCGTCCCTCCAAACACGTCGCAAAAGCGAAATGCGTCGCGAATATCACCTATAAGTTTCCCTCATAACGCTAGAAAAAACATGCAAGAGTTCAGCTTGTCGCGTCAAAAGCACCGCGATCGGCTTTAGAAGTCGAGGAATACGATCTTATATCCCTTTGTAGATCGATGACGACGAAATCCATTGCGAATGCCAACTATAAGTTTCCCTCACAATGCTAAAAAAACATATGCACTAGTTCAGCTTGTAGTGTTGGAGTATGAAATCTACTTCTATATTTTTCCTTTATTCGAATTAGATGTTTGTAGTGTTGGGAGCAAGAATTCGGGTTGTTGTGTCACGTGTGAAGCTAAAATAGGAGTTGGAACATTAGTGGTTTTGATTATGGATAGAGCAGAGAGGAAGAAATATTTTTTTGGTTTTCAGCAGAGTATTATAGGGAGACAGAAGAACTGTGTTTGGTTTCACATGAGAAGAAGAAACTAGGGAGATGGGTAGGGTTGGCCGGATGTGGGTCTTCGGCGAGGCAAATTGGAGGGCAGGTGGGTTGCGGCCTTAGCGTGAGAAAGAGTGAAGGAAGAAGAGATGCACGACATGTAGCAGTAGAAAAGAAAAGGGTGAAGCAGAGAGTGGTGTTGGTGCTTTGGCTTGTTGGAGGGTGAAGGAAGGTGAGCAAGTTGTCGTGTGCTCAAGTCATCGGCGAGAGAGCAGCGAGTCAGCGAGTGGGAGAGAGGGACGGCGGAAAGGTGAGGGGGCTACTGTTGCTGGGGAGGGAGAGACAGATCAGAGAGAGTGAGTACCTCAAAGGAAGAGGAAAACGAGTAAGAGGGATAGGAGGAAACCAATGAGCGCTTGGTCTAGTTGTGTGTGAGAGAATAAAGATGATAAAGGGAAGAAAAGAAAATGAGTTTTTTTTAACGTATAAAATAAGTGGAGAAAGACATATCATATTTTGATTGTAAAAAACAACGACAAAAGCATGAGGCATTTCCAAAAGCTAAAATTTTGGATTTGTTTTGTTTTTTTTGTCCAAAAGCTAAAATTTCAATAAATAAAAATAAAAACCTTACAATTTCCAAATCCATCATACCACAATTCCTAGCCTTAACCCCAAAATTTTAAAATCGAGTCTTTCTACCTCCACCAAAATTTCAGCTCGACCCCTACCACCAAAACCCAAGTTCTCAACAAACTTTGATTTGTAATCTTACATCTACCGGAAACCTAGTCAAGAGAAAAGGACAAAATGCCGTTTAGGAGAAATTTGTAAATAGATGTCCTGGAGCTTTATTATGAAAGAGATGTAAATAAAAAATCGTTAATTGCAGCTAAGGCTTGTTGCGTGTGAGAGGAGAAAATTTGGTGAGATCATTCATAGTCACAACGGTGACTCGTTAGATCAAGAGGAGGACGTGAATCCATTCCACCATTTAGTTTCCAGTGAAGAAGATCATGATCTCTACTCGACATGGAATATTAAGGGAGAAGCCAATATATTGGAGTAAAGGTAGATTTGTCTAATTTCGACGGTTCCATGGAGCCAAATGAGTTTATCCAGTGGCTTCAAATGATGGATCGAATTTTTAGTACAAAGATGTTTCTCAGGATGAGAGTTAAATTGATAGCCATCAAGCTTAGGAAAGATACTTTGTTGTGGTGAGAGAGCCTAAAGCATCATAAACTGCGGGAAGGAAAGGGTAAAATTACTACTTTGTCTAAGATGAAACGAGAGATGCAGCGCAAATGTGTTCCTCTGCATTATTGATAGGATATGTTTTTTAGACTCCAATACCTGCACCAGAGATATTCTTCTGTGGATGAGTACACATTTGAGTTAGAGAAACGTATGTTGAAGTGTGGGCTGGTGAAGCCCGTAAAGAATATCATAGCAAAGTGTGGAATAATGGAGCTCGAGAAGAACACCATAGATCGATACCTGAGGGAATTGAGGTCGCCCATTGGTAATATGGTACAGTTACAGTCTTGTTGGACAATGTTCAAACCTTAGCTCTTAAGGTGGAGCGACAACACAACTGTGTCCAGAGAGATTCTTCTATGGAGGAGTACGCAATTGACTTCGAGCAAATTATGTTGAAGTGTGGGCTAGTGGAGACTGTGGAGGACACCATAGCAAAGTGTGGGCTAGTGGAGCCCGAGGAGAACACTATAGTTCGATACCTGAGGGGATTGAAATCGTTCATTGTCAATGTGATACAGTTGCAGTCTTATTGGATATTACAAGATGTTCAGACCTTATTCCTGAAGGTGGAAAGATAACACGGTACTATAATGTCCACACTACCCTTCAAACAGATTTCGGTCATCAGACTAAATAGCTATGGAGGAGTACACAATTGACTTCGAGCAACTTATGTTGAAGTGTGGGCTAGTGGAGACTGTGGAGGACACCATAGCGAAGTGTGGGCTAGTGGAGCCCGAGGAGAACACTATAGTTCGATACCTGAGGGGATTGAAATCGTTCATTGTCAATGTGATACAGTTGCAGTCTTATTGGATATTACAAGATGTTCAGACCTTATTCCTGAAGGTGGAAAGATAACACTGTACTATAATGTCCACACTACCCTTCAAATAGATTTCGGTCATCAGACTAAGTAGCTAGAATACACCCATTGAATACACCCAAGCCAACCCAACCAGAGGAGAAACTAGTTCAAAATGGAGAATATGTGGATCCAACCAACACTCTCAAGTTCATCTCAGCCAAAATGTGCGCCAAGTGCTGTGCTTTTGGGCACAAGTCCACACCACCATTCAAACAGGTTTCAACCATCAAATTATACTGCAAGAATACACTCATTGCAGCACCCAAGCCAACCCAACCAGACGAGAAACTGGTTTAGAGTAGAGAACATGTGGATCCAACCAACACTCTAATTCATCTTGAGCCAAAAAGTACGCCAAGTGTCATGGTCTTGGGCATAGTTCATCAAATTCTCAAATAAGAGTGATTTCTTTCACTGAGCAGGTATTAGTTGAGGAAATTTACAATGACACGGGAAAGGATGAAAACTTTAGAGATTAGTCTCAACTTCGAGTAGACAAGAAAGAGATGTTATTGAATCAAGTTGAGCCAATTGAGAGCGCCTTCAGTTAAATTAACGTTGGTTATTCTAAAAGATAGTGAGCCTAAAGATTCCTTACCTAAAAAATGATAACCCTTGTTGGAGGAATTGTTCTAAGTGCCACGGTTTTTAGCACAGTTCATTGGATTTCCAATAAGAGTATGATCTCTTTCACTAAGCAGGGAGTAGTTGAAAAAGTAGACCATGACGCAAGAGAGGTTGATGACATCAGAGATTAGCATCAACTTCGAGCCGACAAGAAATAGATGCTAGTAATTCAAGCTGAGCCCATGAGGGAGACTCCAGTTGGATTAACATCTATTTTTTCAGAAGATAGTGAGAGGGACAGTTCTTATTGAAGGAATTGCTAGACATCATGACTGACAGTTTACCTATTCGATGTTTAGCGCTGAGAGTGATCCAACATGTCATATATCTCATTCCAGAGTTAGTTTTTCATACATGCTTTTTTATCAGATCCACCCAGCTGAGTATGAGGTGTGGGAAAACATGTTACATATTTAAATTCTTGAGACTTGGTTCACCAGAGCACTTGTCTATGTGCAGTTCCAGCTCAAGTTGTGCCAAATAATGATGGTTGTTTATTCTATTAGGATAGATTGTGGAAGGATGTATGCATTTTGGAGTTGTCTAAAATAGATGCTAGCATAGACTTTGTAGTGAGATTGGCTTAGACACAACAATGCAATGACTTTATTATGGTGATAATAGTTCGATTCTAGAAGCTTCTTGGGAAGAAGATGAAACTTCTACCCAGGGAGAATGATGCTGGGCGTCTGATCCTGTCAATATCGCCGGATCATGATACTCCCGCGATTTCAGGAGGTGGGATTGAGAAGTCCAATTCCTTTTTTTCTCTTATTTTCTACCAATTTCATTGTTTCATTTCCTTCATTTCTATTTTTCTCTTATTTTCTACCAGTTTCATTGTTTCATTTCCTTCATTTTTATTTTTCAATTATGATTTTTTCTATTGGGAGACTTTATATTTGCTGTAATAGAGTTTTGAAGTTTTAGTTTTTGATTTGATGAATTAAGAAGTGTTTTCTCAGAATTTTGCTCTCCGTAGTGCTGTATCATTTCTTTTTGCAAGTGTTGTATCTATATCTTGTTTTGGAACATGTGCTCCCGCCCATATATCACCGTATTGCCATCCGACTTGATTTTCAGCTGAGCACCCGTCCAAGATACTGCAGCAGGTAACTTCCATTTATCCTTTCCGGTTCACTATCCAGGCACTTTGCTTGTACCTTGCTGAATCGCCACTGGATAGCTATTTGCAGTCGGAACAGACGACGGCGACGTTGAACCTGCTGTCCCCCAGCAGAATGCAGCCGCCGAGCACCTTATAGCCTTTCCAAGCCTTGCTAACCGCATATTTTTATTCCCTCGCTACTCCACCGTTTTCTCGCTAAATCCCCTTCCTAAATACTTTCAAGACCCCCTAGATTAGTATGATTATGCTTAAAGAAACTAGTAATTCATTCTATGCAATAGTCTGTTAAAAGGTGAAAATTTTAAGATAAGCTATAAATTACTAATCATATCAAATACATTTCTATGGTCTCTTAAAAATTGTACTTCAATAAGGATGTGGTAGATGCCATTTGGCTTAGTGATTCATTGCAAAATAATTTTATTGATTTACAAATAAAATTGAGACTTTTTGATGGGATGGTTAGTTGTAAAATGATATCATTAGATTGTATTTATGGTTAAAGCTTGAATGTTTTAATGGTTCATTCATGTTATTTGTGAATCATGAGATCTCTAGTTGATAAGGTATGAGGCCTTCTATGAATTATGATCATCCTAAAATTGACTTTTTAGACAAACATCTACTTGAAATCTTGTTAGGTCCCATTGAATGATGCATATTATGATTGTTAACAAGGATCCTTGAGTGGAGTTAGGTTATCTACCTCTGACTTCGCGGAGCAGGCTCCACAATCTGAGGTAACATAACCATGAGGTCTTAATTTAGTTCTTTATATTCTATATACCATCTATTTTAAGTTACATCGATTAATTTTTCCAATCCAAAACTAAAATTGTTGTTACCATAACCTTAGCATTTAAAGCCTATGACTAGTCTTTGCTGAAAACTCTCTCTTGTGATAGAGAGGATTAATTAGCCATATGGTCTTGTGTCTGGAAAACTTTGAGTTGGATCATAAAGTTATCACAAAAGCCTGTCGGTCAACTTTTTCTTCGATTTAGATTAGATAGATTTGAAGATATGAAATATGAAAATAATTTTTGAAATTTAATTTAATATAATAAATATATAGTTTGGGTTTTGAAAGCAGTATGTTTTAATTTTTGAAAAATGAGACCAAATGGACCTCATTGGTCTGATAGTTTGCATAATCGTGCCTGATACCGCAAATACTACACCTTCCCGAGAGATAAGTGTAGACCTCAGCGATAGACCCAATCCTGCAAACTATGAGATTTGTGACATCCGTTTGGTCTGCGAACCTTTTATATATGACCGACAAATTCCCCTATTTAATACAAAGATTAAATAGGGTTTATTTTACCTGGGTTCCAAGTTCCCTATAGAGGCAAGC